TTTACTGCTAAGACATATATTTTTTACATATTGTGGATCCTTATATTTGCTTATAAAGTCTACATGTAAATATATTGCCTTGTCAGACTCTGCACGTGTTGAGAGGGAGAACTTAAGGGGGGCACGCATAGACAAGGGGTGAGGTGACAATTGACTGCTCAGTGTCTCTCGTCCTTATATTGTATGTATTCTAACTGAGACATTATGAAGTCATCGTCTCGTGGTTCGTCCGTTGATGAACTAATCATCTCATAATACTCCCCTTCAAACTCTTACTAGTCTGAGTAAACTGGTAAGATGTTTGACTTGTGGTACATGTAGTGCTTTAGTTAATATATCTGCTCGTTGATTGTTCGTCCGTATGTATTTTGCATTTATGTACTCTAACTCAATGTAGCATTTAATAAAATCTTTCTTATGATCTAAATGCTTCGTTTGTTCTGAATATTTGAGTTCGTCCGATGTAACCGTTCGTATAACAGCATCGTTATCACAAAAGATATTAATTGGTGCATCAGAGACCTGCAGAATCTCTTCAGCTAAATGTGTAAGTGCGATCGCTTCCTGTGTTCCTCTTGCAAGAGCTATTAATTCAGCTTCATACGTCGAATTTGCCACCAGTGTTTGTCTTTTACTTGACCACGAAACTAATGAATTGCTCAAGTAAAATGCATATCCTGATATTGCACAATGCCCTTCTTGCATCATACTGTCCACGTCCATATAGCTGTTCAATATTGATTGATTTGTGCTGCTGAGTTGGAGCCAGACATTGTTCATAGTTTTTAAGTACATGTAACAATGTTTAAGTGCCAGATAATGCTCCATACCAGGGTCATTGAGGTATTTTGCTAACTGATTTGTTGCAAATGCTATATCTGGCTGTATACAGTCTGCAATGTATCTAAGTGCACCAACCATGTTCATGTATAGTATATCAGACATTTGTTTTCTATTGTTATCAGTTTGCAATACTGTTTTTAATTGTGTACCAGGCTGTATGGGTGTTTGTACACTTTGTTCGTTTGTAAGTTCGTAACGTTCTATTATACTATTAATATAACGTGTCTGACACATCCTGATGAATCTATGCTCTCTGTTGCATTGAATCTCTATACCAAGTAGCCAGTGTAATTCGCTGCTGTCTGTATATTGTAAATGATGTACAATAGATTGTTTTATCATTGCAATAGTATTATTATTCATTACTGCAATAGTAATATCGTCGACATGTACAAATAATATGGCTACAGTTATTTCTTTCTTCTTTACAAAGAATATGGCATTATCATGTTCGGATTTCATTAATCTGCATTTAAGTAGTATATTAGATAGCATTTTATACTATCTTCTACCAGCTTGTTTTAATCTGTATAGTGCTTTTTGTAATTGTAATATTTGTCCATTCTGTAGTCCATCTATTAAGTTACCTGGAGGAGGTTTAACATATATTTCCTTGTCTTCCATCAATTGTCTATACAGATATGCTGATTTTATATCTATCTGATGTATTTCATAATTATTAGATGCTGCCCATGCTAATATTAATTGTGCCATAGATAGTCTAGCAGTAGGAGCAAATAAATTGTCTGTATGATAGTCAAGGCTGTCAATCTGATAGTTTCCTTAAACTACTAATTGTGCTTTATATTTTTCTATACTATTATCAGTGTATTGCTTTATTTTATAGACAAATTGTGTTCTGATAATGTTAATATTATTGTATGGATTTGTGATTTCCCATGTATTATGATTTTCTAATTGTTTTATTTTGTCTTTCATAGCTGTAATCCATGAATCACAATCTGGACATTGGATTGCTTCATAAAATGAAGTCAGATCCAATTGTATTTCACTTATTTTAGTATTAAATTCTGTTAAATGAATAGCAATATTATCTTCATCCTTTTTGTTAAGTGCATACATGTGTTTCGTTATGCATTTATTCTCCATGCATTGTTCAAGCTCAATAGCACATTCTGTTGGTTTCTGTTTTCGTTCCAATCAATGTAATTTAGGTTCTACTTCTTTTTCAGTTAATTTAACTTTGTCGTCCGTTAAGTCTGTTGGTTCTGCTACTTTTCCTTTTTTGTTAGGATCAGTGTTGTCTGTATCATTGTTGTCTGTTCTCATTATTCTATTGTCTGTTTCATTATTTTTAATTATTAAACACTCGTTTGTATTGTTGTTTGTATTGTCTATTTTCTCCCCTTCAATTTGAGGAGGTTTACCTTCAAGAAATTGAATATTTCGTTCAATGGTAATTTTATTATTGTGCCAAGTTTTATGGCCTTTACTTTCATTGTCTAATCCTATCCAACAAGCAATGATACCTTGCTGTTGTATTTTTGTAGGATTTTTGTTGCAAATGATAATATATTGACCAAATTCGTATATATTATCAATTGTTCTGTGTGTTCTGTAACGTTTGTAATGTGGGGTATTATAATTTAAAGCAGCACACAGTGTTCTATTATGAATATAGGTAATATGAATTGCTGCTTCAGCCCATAATGTAAACAGTAATTCAGTAGATGTTAGATATACTCTTACACCTCTAAATATTGTTTTATGTGTTTGTTCTACTATTCTGTTCTGTTGTAGAGTATGATGTACTGTTAATCTTTGTTTTGTTCCTTATGAATCTAAATATTGTTAGAAATCTTCACTAAGGAATACAGTATCATTGTCACTTTGTAAAAGTTTTATTTTAACTCTGTGCTGTGTAAATATTTTAGTTGTCCATTGTATGTATTGTGTATATGCATCAGATTTTGTTTGTAATTTGAGCATTATGCACCAACAAGG